TGCTGGTGTAAACGCGGCGTGTCGCTGGTGAGCGGGATGATTGGCGGTATCGCGTGATATGATTGCTTGTAGTGTGTGGGCAGACCATGTGGCGAAATTACGTTCGTGATGTCGCAGCGCCATGCGCATTTGCGCGGCTTTTGCCACTGGTTAGCGCGAAACTGGCGGCGCGCAGTGCAGAGAGCGCCTTGAGATTTCTGAAGTATTTAGGGTGGCATTTGAATGAAACAATTTCGAAGCATTTGACGTCTGACGAGAGGGAGCAACTTTCCGCAACTTGAAAGTCAGACAGTTCACACTATGCAAAACACGGGTTTGTAGAGTTACAATCAGATATGTCTGAAGTAACTGCGATGGAGTTAGACCTATGCGATGCATGGGTTTATAGAGTTACGATCAGATATGCCTGAAGAAGCTCTCATATAGTGGTTTCACGTCAACGAAAAAGAATATCACCAGCTATATGGGCAAGACTTTCGGAATCGATTCAGTTCTCCGCTTTCAGAGTTTGGGTAGACTATCTTGGACGCATCATACATGACCAGTCTCTCTGACAAGGCTCTCCTCACAAAGATAGGATTTGTTATCCTTAATCTTGTTCTTTGCCCTTGAGGTGTTAGGTGTATTCTTTTCCATGACTCGTCCTGGCGCGGCCATTTTTAAACTTAGCTCGCGCAAGTGCAGGGGGCAAAGTTTTCAAAGTTTTGGGAAGGAGTAGGGATGGACACGACTGCCGGCATTTCATGGGCGGGCCGCGCGAGGCAAACGGTGGGTGAGAGAGAGAGAGTTACTTTATTTTGAATATAAAACTAAAAACAAACAAACCAACAAACTAACAAACCAAACAACAATCTTTGAGACCATCCTGTTTTTCCTTCCTCATTATCTTTTGTTTAAATTTTATCCACCGCATGGAGTCTTTTGCTTTTGAATTTGCAACAGTCCGTCAAGATGTCAACTGTTTTTTTTGAACGTTTAGACCTGTTCTATCCGCCCTTCACCAGGCGATGCGCGCGCTGGGCAAGACTATACTACATGGGGGGGGACTTTCCCATACCGGATATTCGAGACTGTGGACCTCTACTGACTCTACTGCAAGCCTGGGCACCTGAAAGCAGGTGAGCCTGGTTGATCCCTGTCGGTGGGGCGAGTCAACTACCCAGGGAGAAATACACCGACACAAGAGTTTGGGATGTAATCAGCTGTAAAGTCTTGACAGTCAATATGCTAGAGTTGACAAGTCTTTTCTTCTCGGCACTTCAGCGTTATATGTCTAACTTTTCATAACTTACAATTGCGTTTTCTCATTCATTTCGCCTCTGCTACATCTGCGCACCTCCTCTACGCCACTTGTTCCTGTCATCACATCTTCTCACAGATCTCACTTCATACCTACTTTCTCTTCTCCTTTCTTCTCACCTCTTCTTGTATCTTCTTCACCACTTCTACATCCTAAATCATCAGAAACTAAAAAATTCATGTTCCACATCTACAAACTTAACATCTACATCTTTTCTTTTTCTCGCTCTTGGGCCACCCGTCGTCTAGTTTATTAGGTGGACAGGATTAAACCTACAAAAACACCGATTGTAAGACTTCTTCGGGACAAGGCTTGAATCCATACAAACTAGTTTCAGCCTTGAAATATTCCTGCGCAAACATCGGCTGAAAGATTTGTTTGGGGCAGGACCATTTCGTCGAGCGGGGCAGGACCTGAATCCACACATCTTAATCGCGCGCAGGTGAATCAAAATTCCACGCCGGGATTGTGCAAAAAATGACACAGGAAGGTAACAGGTCATTGAGCCTGGAACGCAATGGGGACGGTGATCGATATTGAATGTCCTGGCTAAGCTGCACGCTTCCACGCATTGGCGCGAAGAGCACCTAAAATGCAGACTTTGTAGGCGCCAGAAGTGGGTGATCACTTGTGGCCAAGAAGGCTGGAGTGTGAGAGAGAGGGAGTGATCTTTTCGTGGGGAGGAGCGCGGTGGAGTTATGAAGCGATCCTGCAGAAGGTCTAATGTTCGACATTCCTCATCCCAATCGACTCGGTTGTATGTAGTGCGGGGATAGAAAAAAAGATGTACCTTCTCAAAATGTGCTGGAGGAAGGCAAACATTGTGTGTCAGTTTAAGTCTAGGTGTCTGTGCTCAATGAAGATGGCGCTTGCAAAATTCAAGCGGGGGAAATTCAGTTGAAAGGTATCGAGATGGTCGAATGACATGTAGAAAACGACCAACTCAAAGACCTCAACGTGTAAGTAGCCGCTTTGCAAGGAACCTGTCAGCTAAAGGTAGAGCAAGGATGGAATTGCCCAAGGGTCAAAAAAATAGAGGAACCACGGTGGTGGGGGAAGAGGAAAATAATACGGCTCTTGAGTGTGAGATGCAAAGCGAGACTCATTTGTGTCTGGGCACCCGGAGTTCGAACGCGATCAAGAGGTTCTCAAGAAGTGCGTGAACGGTGCTGAAGGCGTCCTGCTCCCGTGGATGTAGATGAGGAATTCCATGGTTCGCGGGACTGGTGCGAAGTGACGGTGAAGAGAAATTAAGGCGACCGCAAAGGTCCTGTTCAAGGCCAATCAATGGCCAATGCCCGCCAAGTCTCATGTATGAAGCGTGCCCATTGTAGCAGGAACCTCCCGGGTGCACATCATTGCAGTAGTCGTAGCTTGTGAGGCCTGCGAAAACCAAAATGGAACCATCCCGCGTAGTTGGGTGAGGATATGGGGTTTCCCCAAGACATTGCATCGAGGATGCGTAAGCGAAGTCAAAGGAGAGCCCAAGTGAGTTCCAGAGTGTGGTAGGCATAAAAATGTTCACGATCAGGCCGGCGGCGACGGTGCGAAGAGCCATTTGTCGGGGCGGAAATGCTAAGCTCAATTGAACTCATGTATGTAAACTTCGACAGGTCTGCTTTGCCTGCGTAGCCCTGGCAGGCTCAGTCCGCCCGCTGCCGGCTCCTACGGTTGCTATAGCCTCCTGCTCTGTCCAACATCCCGGTAACTTTGAGCTCTTTGCCCTCAAGCTGCCTACGTAATTCAAAACGCCTAGGTAGACAGGGGTATGGAGCGGCGTCTGGCCGCAATGCTTCCAAGCCAAGGTCAACAGGTTCCACGCGATACAACGAATCGGATTGGTCGACGGCCGCTTGCCCGCAGAATGCGCTAGCCCTTTACTGCAGCATGGCCTCACAAAACCTTGAAACAGCCTTCGAAACTCCAGAAGAGGCAACCAAGACACAGGAGTTGGTGTCAGTCCCAACTCTCTTCCAACTGATTGCCGCAGCTTCGTTGGCACGGATAAGAAATCCGTCTCCGTGCCCCTGCAACATTTAAAATTACTATATATATATATATAGAAAGAAAAAGGGAGGCCAAAGGAGCAAACATCCTGTCATTTGGAAAGAGGCACCCTATGATTCTAAGGGTTACACGCACACACACGCACACCTAAATAACTAAATAAATATTGACATATTCTTGCCATAATATGCATACATTACAAAGCACATCCTGAGGGTCGTGAGGTTATGAGTTATTACCAAATAATATGGCGATTACGATCGCCCGACCCTGGAGAGTGCCTGTCCGAGGGTTGTAGCACATGAGTGCATTGTGCTCCTCCGGCAGCAACGCCAAGCCAGCAAAGACTTCAAGCGAGCTGCTGTTCACCCCGCCCTGTGACGAGCATGATCGAAGCAAAACAAATCCCAAACTACATCCAGTTGTAAACTTGAACGCTTGGTGCATGCTCATGCTTGCTGACAGTATTATCAAGAAGATTCAAGAAGGCATCGCTCCGCAACAGGAGAAACTCTCGACACTTGCTCTTCACTCCACTTCACCCTTCGCCTTGTTCGTGGATGCATCTTTGAACACATGCACACCAGAATTCTCCAAAGTCACCCTTGCACCATCTGACAAAAATAGATTGGCTCCTTCCACCTTGGAGTGTCTCTCGCCGGGTCGGTGCAATGGATTTCCTGTTTTCAGTATAGGGGGGCATGCACACACACAAACGCACCCTGAGTATACAATCATAAACACCTTGCAAATAAGTGGCAATCATCCGAAATTTGGGCTTGACACCATCAGCATGGAACAGCTTTTTCACATTGTCTGTTGTAATTGAGTTTGGCCGACCGCCGCATGGAACAAATAGATCTGCAGTCGCATATGGAGATAAATGAAAGGAATCTCGCAGCCTAAGATGCACAGCTCTGCCGGAGAGCTAAAACTATTGCACATGACAATAATATAAAGGATGCTCTCCTAATCTCTCTAAGTCGCTCAGCTCCAGTGAGGTATTTTGAGCCATCTGGCAAAGCTACGTCGGTCTCCTCCACAGTGACTAGGAACCCTTCAGGCCTCGCAGAAGCCCTCACCGCATCAAGATTCTTGGAACACCGGACGTTGACACAATACTGAACATGTCCGAAGAATTGGACGAGATACAATAGAGGATTATAGCAGCTATGGCGCTTGAGCATGGACCGATTGAACTGGCTGATTGGAACCCTCATCTTTGCCAGTCGCCGGAGTTCAGCGCGATCAATGCCATGTGGGTCATACACAACCCCGGAGCCATCCACAATGGCCTTACAACTTTCTGATACTTTCCGGACATTGAACTCTCTCTCTCTCTCTCTGCAGTGCTCTTCTCTGGGCACCTAGCTTCCCTTTTTTTAGATCTTTTCACAAGCTCAGGAACTATGGTCTTGTCCTTCGATACCAGAATCTCATTTGAGCCCAAATCGCCATCAGGTCCGCCAGTTTGAAATTTGGTGATGCTGCATTCATCCTGGCAAGCACTACAACGGAGCAAAAAGCGCACAGATTGACATAAGGAACCATGGGTGAGAAAATTCGTCATTCTCGCACAAGGGATTGTTGTCCTCGCCCAGCTCCCGCAACAGCTCAGTGACATAGGTGTGAACGCTGGTTGTAGTCATAGCGTAGGTATCATGAGGCACCCCACCTGCATCAAAACAGCAGTGCAGCATTTCTCACAGGTACAAGCACGCACCTAATGATACGCTCTTGCCCGTGGTCAACGATTTCCAATATGGATAAGCTCTTTCCCGAGCAATGTCGGCGCCCAGATCCATGAACCTTAGATTCTAGCTCTGTCTACGGGCTCCAAAAGCACCGAACACGGAAAATTAACTTAAACAATGCAACATTCAATGACCCTGCTCACGTCTGATGGCATAATCAAAAAGTATCAAAGAGTGAAACAACACATTGGAGTACATAGTTACTATCCGATACAGGAATGAGAAACCTGAAAAGGAAACAAGCCACCCGGCCGTGTTTTCATCCGGGCCAAAGAAAAGGATCTCCGCCTTCTTCTTCATATGCCCAGAGTACAAATGGTTTTGCTCAGGCTGCATGCAGTCGAGGAGTGCGTTGACATAGTTTATGAAGCAGGAGCCTTCGGAAACCGTACAGTCTGCCTTTCAAAAACACAAAGCAGGATGCTTCTAAATGCCTATTCCTCTGCTCCCAATGGTGCCGAGTTTCGCATTGCAGCAGGGCCCTGGGAAGTCATTCCAATGAGCGCGTTTCCATCTCCTTCCTTTCGTCCCGACCAACAGGAGTCGGGGAGAATCACTCCCTTGGCGCCACCTGGCCCAAGCATATCACACCAGCTGTCAAGCTATGATATGCATATGATCGTGATTGTGCCTTCTGGAATGTCTTTGTTCTTGTTCTGCTGCGTGTATGCCAGGTTGTAGCACTCATCGAAGAGGGTTGCAAAGTTTCGCTCATACATTGCCTTGTCCCGAGAGAGGATCAATCGAATGCCGCCGCGTGCTACATCGCGGAAGCGGGTGTGAAAACCCATGAAATCACGGCCGCAAATCATGTAGATCCTGAGCTCAGGCTTCGAAAAACAGCATCACTTGAAATAAATTCATTGGTTTGTCCTGTTGCTTTTCTGAGGTTGCCAAGCAGCCCATATGGAACTTCAGGGTATAATGATGCCGGTCGTTGCTTCAAGGCAACTGCCGGATTCAAGCGGAATGCAAAGGCACCCGGAATATCAGGTTTGAAGAAGTTGGTTAGGAGCACGCTCTCGTTGAATGTCAGGAACATCCTCCCGCTGTGCTGATCGTGATTGCCTAGCCGGCCTTTCGGAAAGGAGACATCAGCCTCTTTAAACAAGTGTCCAGTGCCCAGTACAGGATTCTGGCATCAACACTTGCTAAGCTGCTAATCTCTGAGAGCAACTTCCAAATCGGACGAACAGTCCCCAACCAGTCCTCAAGATTTGACGATCCTGAGGATCACTGCAAGCTGCATCAATGGACGTACCGAGCTCTTTGTTGAAGGTGGGCTCTATCTCACCTCGGCAAATAAACAAATAATGGAATCTTTCCCACTAGCCACCATCACCTGGCCCATACTTAAATCATGCAGCGTGCGATGTACGTGCTCCGCCGAGATGAAAAAACAAAAAGAAACCACATGGCACCAACTGGCAATCCTATTATTGCCAGCTGTCAAGTATGCAGCAAAAAATCGGGGGCCCTGAGCTCATCGAAACTAGGTGCGTGACCAAGGGCTATCTTGCGAAAATCTGCATAGAACTGCTCAGCGAGGGCTGGCCGTTTGCTGATCAGCTGGTAAATGCGCTCAGTTGAGAGCAAATCCTTCATACAAAGCCTGTACAATGTCTCCAACTTCCGTTGGGCGGCAGGATTTTGCTCCAGAACTTTGTGGACGCCTTGGCCGGTTGACGCATGTGGCATGAAACTCAACATCAGCGAAAGCTCAGTGACCGCTGTCGTGTAGTTTAAGCAAAACCCCTCATGGCCTGTGTATTCCCTTGAGTACTGCTCTTTGGGAAAGAACGCGTACACAAACTTGACGGCCGCAAGCAAGTAAAGTCCACATTCGTGAGATATCCTCGCAGGTAAAACGATTGGCATACACCAGCTCAAGTGCAGTAGGGTCTGACGAAAGCTAACATATATAACCACGTGTACATCAGCCGGGCACATTACTTTTTGCATTTCCTATTGTTGTTCTGTCCGTTGTGCTGCCGCCAATGGGAAAATACGTATAACAAGTATACAAATTCAAAAAACACATAAAAGAATCATATAGCGACCTTCAAGATTGAAGGACCAAAATTAGCCCGCTTCTACTGAAGCTTCTTTTTTGGGCTCCCGGCTTTGCTTTCCAAGGAGTTGCGCTAGTTAGGGTACTGACTATGCCGTGCTTGTTCACCAGGTGCGCTTTTACAATGTGCAGTGCCGCACCACTCCAACAATGTGGCTTTTTCTCACAAACTGATGTCGGCCAGGGTCTGCGCCGCACAATGCACTTTTTGGCAGCAGGCAGTTGCACATAGCAGGAATTCGCCGTGCGGTTGCGCTCGTGGCGCCTTCTGTTCCCGTTGCCATTCACTTGAGAAGCAGTAGACACGAAAGGTAGGAAAACCGGAATGTGGAACGGCGGGAACCAAAAGGCGTTCTAAGCAGCGACGTTGATGTCGGCTCCTGCTCTCTTTTTTCGAAAACAAAGGACAACAACAACTACAACTACAACTAGACGACGGACAGCCCGAGAGCGTTTAGTGTAGAATTGCTCTGGCGTAAGGCTTGCTTACGTGATAAGGAAACAGTAAAGCAAAGACAGGTGAGAGAGGGTGAAAGAGAAGGTGAACGAGCGCGGCAGAAAAGGATGGGTGAACAATAAGCAAAAAGCTTAGAGGTGCAGTTTTACAACAAAATTGTGTGGATCCAGGTCCCGCGCTCCCACCCCGAAGAAGTTTTCCAGTCGATGTTTAGGCTGGTCTATGTCAAGACTTGAGGCCAAGGGAGGAGGTCGAAAGCTAGCGGAAGCACACTGGCGGTTTCTCTACCGCGCTGCGGTCGTTGAAGACAAATCTCAATCCTTGCGCCGACATATCATCGAGATCTCAATGAAGTTGGGATCCAGTGGGTATAGACATATATTATTCTGAAAGGAACGTCCACTTTACATGATTCATGATTGCTTTAAAATGGATTTCGAACGTTTTCGATCTGTCGGAGGTTTTGTCTGTGTCGTTCAATACTAATACTCTGGAACTGAGGTTCCACTTCCGATGCGCTGGAGTTCTATTTTGCTACTTGCGTCTTGACAGCAAGGTGTGGCGTGAAATCTCTCACTGCCAACTGGCTGATCCACAAGGCTGCAGATTGTGTTCGGCCTTTGCCTGCAAAAGCGAATGGTGACGTGAGGTTCGCGGAGACCATGGACTGTGCACGCGCACTGCTCTGCCGTGCGCGTGCACTTGAGATCACTTGAGTGTCCGCACTATCGGACCATCTAAATTCCTATTCAACACAAAGCACGTATCATGTGAAATGATCGCCCATCAATCCATGATGACAGCACTGTCCTTGATTGCATAACGTTGTTGTACAAAAGTGCCGACCTTCCAGGAGTCTCTTTCAGTAAGGTGGCGTGCATGATGGTCCTTTTCAGCTTGTGCACCTGGTCATCTGTAGCCGATGGAAAGAAAAGGCTGTATGTAATGACGCCGTTGGCAAAGTTTTCAAAATAGAAGCGTCTTGGAAGAAGCCCGACGAAACGCATGGCTTGCCAGATTTCGGGGAGGTAGTGCCTCCCCACAGTTTCTGCAGTGGCGAAAAGGACCACGTAGCCAAAAGGGCATGGTCCAGGGTAAAGATGTCCGGGCACAATTCGCACAGCGCTTCGGCGACTTGCCACCACATCCTCCATGACCTAACCCAGGCCAGTGCGACCAACCAAATGCGAAAAAATGCGAAAAATATCGAAACATGATGACGCATTGATACGCATTGTCATTTCATGTTGAGGCCACACTCCCAAGACAAGACTGCATGTTCAGCACAGCCTTGCTTCCACCAACGTCTTTCATTCACAGTGAGCTAAGCTCTTGGCAATCTGGTATTGCTCTTTGGCTTCTCGAGTCTTTGTTTTCAAGAATCTGGAAGACGCTAAGACTTCCAAGCTGGATTCCCCCTCCGTCGCGCGTGTTGCCTCGAAATGACCCGTCTCAACGCTGTAAATGCCCAATTTTTCTTGCCCACCAATGAACACAGGTCCCTCGGAAGACATGAAGATCAGCGAGACCTGGCAAGTCGTGTTTACATGTCGGTGAGGACTGGTAGGTGTCAGTTTGAGATTTGCGATTGCAAAGTTCCCCAGGTTAACCTTAAGGCCTTAAGAATCACCTTGTGAAACCATGTGAAACCTGCAGCAAGGCCACGTTCTGGTTAGCTTCCATAAAATTGGTGACAAAGGCAGACACGGAAGCAATGGTCTGCATTTGCGCTCCTTTGCACTTTGCGGAAGTCTGAATTGGGTTGGCAGGTGTCTGGAATTCTCCTAGAAACTTGGAAACATGCATATATATATATATGTGTGTGTGTGAGGCTCAAGCCATCTCAGCATCAAGCCGGGCCCATACAATACCGGCTAGAGCGGCGCGAGGGCGCGGCCATCTATCACAGGGAGGCGCACATGGGTGGAGAGCAAAGCGCTCAAGCAACGATGTGGTGAACCACAAGAGCAAGTCACGCTACCGACTTGCTTCAAGGCCAAAATGGCCACATGACCGCGCAAACCAGAAAAGGAGCGAGAAAAAAATATGTATGTGTGAATATGTATGAATGCATGTGTGCACAGTAAAATTATGACCGTGACATAATTGATTCATCATGCTCCTGTGGGCTCGCGACAGCTTCCTATAGTGCTGAGGAAGAAGCCGCTCTGCGAGGTTCTTGGTAAGGAGGTTCACTAAATGACTCACATGACGTCATCACAATGGTGCAGAATGTCGCAGGAATTTCAACGTGCCTGTCTTGAGGTCCCGGCTTGAAGTCAAACTCAAGACCTCCAATGTCATCTGTAGCACGTGCCACATGCTTGGCTGCAATAAGGCAATGAACGTGCTTTGCAATTTGCAGCGGAGTAAAGTGTCGGAAGTAAATCCTTGTCAAGGAAACAACTGCACAAGTTAATGCTTAACGTTGCTCCAAACATGATTCTTGTACCATCCTTGACCAAAGCATTTCGAGAAACCAGCAGTTTTGCTGAGAGTCTCATGAAAGCGGAGCACTTTGAAGAAATGCAGAACTTCCGCATGAACACTTGTATAGCTGAACACACCCTCTTTCACCACAAGCTCGAAAACCGTGCCCATTAGATCATCCATCTCTTGTTCCAATCGAGACTCTGCCTCGCTCAATCTGGCCAATAAATCGAAACTGTGCGGAACGGGACTTAACATTATTTCCCTCTTGCATCCAGGCATCAGAATTGATGTTCTCTCCAGAGTCCAATCTTCTGCGCTTTTGCATGTTCTTTGGCTCTGCGAGCTTTTGGCTCTGGAGATAACGTCTGAGCTCCGAGTGTCCGTTCTCAACCGCATCATGTATCGGCAGCAACCCAAATCGATCCTGTCGCAATGCTGCGCCACAGTCTTCCACAAGGAACTTGACCATGTCAAGCCTTGGGAATCTGGGAACAAACAAATGCAACTGCCCAACTGCCCGACAATCAGAAATGGCTGGATTCTTTTCGCTCTTTTCTCTTTTCAATAGAACATACGCATGCCAAAACCTTTCATCTTGGTGGCTTCCCGGCTGCAGCTGCCAAGTGCAAAGGCGTACGTAGGTCATAGGGTGTTGCCGAATTTACATCCGCTCCCTGGTGAATCAAGCTTCGAAAGGCACTGATGTCGCCACGGGCAGCATAGTCACAAAGCAGTCCGGTCAATGCAGCCTTCGGAAAGGTGATCTAACTGATCAAGTTTTGCCTTTAGCCAAAGAGAGCCGACGCTACTGGCATTTTTGGCTGTAGGCCATGGCCGCCTATATTTTGTTTAGTTCTTTTTTCCCGTTGGTACAGGCCTCAGGAAGTGCTTTCGTTTTATCACTCGGCAGGTCTTGTGGAGCTCTTGCATCACATCCCACCATGGTGCAACAGTGCAATCCTTCAAAAGAATCCTCTGAACCAATGGCTCTGGGAGGGTTAGTGGCAGCAGTGGCGGCTTGGACAGTTGTGAAAACAAGCCTTGACCAAGAGGCCTTCATTCACTTCACAAACATCACAGCATCTATCCAGAAAAGCCCGGCCTTCTTGTGGCAAAACGGTAAAGCCATCTCCTCCATCCAAATTTGGGTCAAAACTTCAGCCGTGGGAGTCGGGGGGTCCATTGAAGAATGTTGAAGGCAAATACTCCACCTTGGATACTGGACACACAAAACCACTGGTAGCGAAATAATCGTACGGGCTCGAAGTCGATCCCTGTTTTGAAAAAACCACTGTTGAGTCAGTTCTCCTAGTTTTTCTTGTTTGTTCTCTCGTGCTTTTGATATTATGTCTTGTTGCCCTGGCAGACCGTTTTATTTGCAAAGGTTTGTGTCTCACCCAGCTGCAGCAACACGTGTACAGTGTGTTTGGGTCTGCAACCAACCCCAAAACGATGTTTCATGCACATGACTCTAAGCATGCAAAGGCGAGGGGGAAATGATCCAGGTTCACAACAATGTACAAACATTTATGTCCTAAAGCCTGTTCATGCACAAATGTTCTTGGAAAAACCAGAGAATCCAAGTACAGTAAAACACATCTACTAGAACAGAAGATTTCAGGGGTTCGGGAAACGAACACCAATGCTCCTTGCGAGAAAGCCCCAAAAACGACGCGCAACAAAAAGAAACCAAACTGCAGAATGCTGCTCTGGAAATTCAGTTGGCAATCACATTCTCCCCACTGAACGAGTTTCTGGAACTGTCAAGCTTGTCAATGAGTCCACCATGAACAGGGACGAACGGAAGTGGTAGAGTCCGCCACGCTTGAGTCATTTGTCAATGTGTTGCGAAAGGGTGTCAGGTGTGGCAACAAACTACAGCCTTCAAATGCATTCAACGCATTTTGTGGGTCATGGTCATTGTCTTCAGGCTTTTGTTCGATAGACCCTGCCCCCCCCAACCCCCACCCCTGTTTCCACGTCAAGTGGCTACACTGAAACAAGATGAAACAAGAAATTTCAACTAACGCCAACTGATAAACTTAGGGCCTGGGCTATCAAAAAGAAAATAAACACATATTATATCAAAAGAAAAATATCCTATCAAACAAGATGGAGCCCACGAACCCGAATGCAAACACATACGTCAAACCACTGCGTATAAAAAGAGACATAGCCGGTCAGAATCTCTTTTTCACTCTCTGGCACGCTGTTGGACATCATGCGCTGGGGACTCCACCACCAAGGCAGCATGCGCTGGGGACTTCACCACCAAGCTCCGTCTTCATCATGAAGGGTCTTTGTTTTGCATTCAAATCAAGCACTGGCGTAAAGGTTCTGGCAGATCCGCGGCACGAGAGAAACAATGGCATTGTCCCAAAATCTCGAAAATAAGCACTTGAAAATGATAACCGTCCACATAATACAGAGAAATCCACAACTGCGGCGTCTGATCTTCTTGTAAATAGGAGTGTAAGACCGTGCGTTGTTGTGGTTCGCCTGCATCGACAAGAAGTATATGAGACACACACAACGGAAGTGAAGAAAACTATCCTATAGGTTATGTCATTAGTCCAACATTCGTATGGATTTATCGCACACGCGTTTGTTAGATGTGTCACCGGGGCCTCGAACAACAGACGTCTGGGTCCAAGTATTTCCAGCAATGATGAAGCCAAGATTGAGCTCCGTGGCCAACGCAACAAAGTCGACGTCTGTTGCCCAATGAGTATTCCCACAAGTTTCGAGAGCAGCACTCACGGCATGCTGCAAAGACACCAGGGCCGCAGTGCCAGAACGCACTCTCTTGCTCCTCGTCACGGAGCTGTCGCCCTCTTTGTAGCGAACTAGCATGGCGTCGTCTACAACTTCTGCTCCGAGGACATCGTTGGCGTCTTTCAAGAAAGCAAAAGGAGAGCCACGCAAGAGTGCGATCATGGACCAGTCGTCCAGCCATGTCCTCGCAGCTTCGCGCACCAAACACCCGACGACGAAGTTCAAGAATGCTTTTGGCGTCTTGGCGCGCATGTGTTGCCCGACAATCTTGCGGAGAGCAGCCGCGACCGTAGTTCGGTCGTCCCAGTCAGTCACTTCATCGGAAGTGAAAAGATTCAAGAGTCGTGGGTGGACCGCTCGCGCCTGCATCAGGACGACCGCAGTGGACAAGAAGAAGCAATCGCCGCCTCCACCAGCTTCGGCGGCAAAGACACGCAGAGCCCCGTGTTCTCGGAAAAATTGTGCCGTGGGAGTGGCCACCTCTTCCAGCACAAGAGACCAGATGTCGCAGAAATCCGTTCGCAGCTGACGCCACTTGGTGGGGTCGTACTTCCTTTTGGTTCCCCTGAACTCAGTCACTACACTCGCCCTCGTAGCCGCCGTCCAAGCCCCTGGGACGTACTGAAAGCGACCCTCTGGTGTTCTGCGGGTCGGTCGCGGTAGGTGTTCCGCGGCTGGAAAACCAGGCAGATGTCTGCGAGCTTCTTCGATTGCGGAGCGAGACAAAAGCGCAACCTCCTGCAAACAATGATACAAGATCGACACACGCGCGGTTGCGGATGGTATGACTCGTGGCTATTTCATATGTTATCACTCGAGCAGTGTGAATCAGTCCGTGGATATCCAACATAGCACATTAAACAAGCCAACAAGCGCATCAGAGTCCTCCAGTCGATCCAAAAACTCGGCAATATACGCAGGTGGACCAGTCTCAAAGATTGAAAAATCAATATCGCCTTCTGGCGTCTCCGGTAAATTGCGAAATAAGGAATACTCGAGAGCTTGAGCGCGTCCAAGAATCATGTACAAGTGCTGCGTATAATCGTCTGCCGAAAAATAATCTGGTTTCGAAAAATCAATCGTGTGCCCAACTCCTTTGATGGTCTTGCCTTGGGCATTGTTGTAGGTTCCAGCAGCCAGCGGAGCAAGAGGATACTGTATCCGAGTAACATCCAACATCAAGGCTCCTTTGCGATGCAATTGCACGCGGAAAGAATCTTCACTCGGTTCTAAATGCCACACTCCAGGCAGAAGCTGTCCAGTATAATCTTCTTGCTGATCCTGTTACAAGTCAGGTGTGACTCAGAGACGCATGGTTCCTATAGAAGCGAGTGTTAGATTAAACAGATATTCACAAAAAACTTTTGTTCACGTACTGTGCAGGACAAGACCTTCATACTATATATAGCTGTAGACCCAGGCCTCAATACGCAAGGTAATCGAGGCAGGCAGATAGTCCAAGCGAACATATCCAGTCTCCCGGCACGAACGCGATCCCGCGGGAACACCACCACCAGCGACACGCCGCGTTTACGCCAGCCTGTTTCGCGCTCCCCAGTGGCACGGCGCCACGCAAACGCACTTTCCACCAAGGCTGCGCAAATCCCAATGGCACTGCGACATTACGAACGTCGTGTCGCCACACGGTCTGCCCACACACTATAGAAGGAGTCCTGGTGCAAACTGGAAAGCGCAAAACAGCAGCAACTCCCGAATGGCGCCATTTCATTTAAACATGTGCGTACATGATTGCCAGGTTCCAGTGCATGCTGGTTTGCGCGCATAAAACATTCTTGTGTTTTCCCTGGAGGCAAACGGGGAAAGCTGAACTTTTGAACGGGGAGCAGTTAGAGCTGTGGTGGGGGCTGGCCTTGTCCCACGATTGCCATCCGGCAAAGTCGATGCACAATCATTTACAGTATATCATCGGCACAGAAAAAACAAGATGGAACCCACGAACCCGAATGCAAACACGTTCCATATGCCCAAATGACACTCTTGTAGGACACTGTTGTGGGACACTCTTGTGGGACACTCTTGTGGGACATTCTTGTGGGACACTCTTGTGAGACACTCTTGTAGGACACTCTTGAGGGACACTCTTGTGAGACACTCTTGTGGGACACTGTTGCGGGACAGTCTTGTGGGACACTCTTGTCGGAAACTCTTGTGGGATAAAGGAGGTTCACAAAGTGCTGCGCCTGCCACGAAATCGGCACATGGAGGTTCACAAAGCGCTGTGCCTGCCACGAAGTCTGCACATGGAGGTTCACAAAGTGCTGCGCCTGCCACGAAATCTGCAGATGGAGGTTCACAAAGTGCTGCGCCTGCCACGAAAAGTGACAATATCATCTCATGCAAGCTTCAACAAAATTTGCACCACGCCACACGTTTGGAATGGTTTCGACCCATTCTGAGCATACTCCCGGCCACCAAAATCGCCATTTCAGCTGAGACTTGTCATGAAAACAGAGCTTCAATGCCACACCCTCACACGCAAATCCCAATGGCACGGCCACATCCAACACCCCAAACACATCACTCTCCAAACGCTAATCCCAATGTAACTGCGCAGCAAACGGCGGATCTCACAAAACGCTGCGCCTGTGCAGTGAAATGTATCACGTTTCTTGCGCGACATATCATTTTCATGCAAATCACAATGTAATAGCGGTGCAAACTGACACGTGGCGCATCAATGAAAAGTCACTTGCAAAAGCTTCCCCCAATGGCAGCGCCTTAGGGCTCTACTGCGAACACCTGCGAACGGTTGCGAACGGTTGCGAACGGTTGCGAACGGTTGCGAACGGTTGCGAACGGTTGCGGACGGTTGCGGACGGTTGCGGACGGTTGCGGACGGTTGCGGACGGTTGCGAACTTAGAAACAACGGGTCACGAACAAGGCTCTACCCCCAGACCCCCAAGAGTCAAACGAGAACCCTTCGCTACGCATTCGGGAACATGACTCAAATGACATGGCAATATATAGTCGGGTCATGTCCGTCAGGCCCAATGCCACTCTTGTGAAGGGCTCTTGCTGCAATCTGCGACCTTACTTAGCACAACCCAACGGACGTTGGAGTCAAAACAAGGTTGCCGGACGCCGCCAAATTAAAATACCCGGATACCAATTCTTTGTCTTGTCTGACTTGTCCTTTGTTGGCTCTGACCCGTTCAGTGTTGGTTGCTGAGGAGAGCTCCACGAGGGTGTATGGGCCTCGAGGAGCCATCGCAAATCCAGCATTCCAAGAAACGTTAGAAATGGTAACGGTAACGGTTGTCAGACTTGCTCACAATGCTGATATTCAACACACGGCCCAACTAGGGGCCGCGCAGCCATCCCATAACAGCCCCCCGCAACTTAGGCGTCTGCTCTTCTCGGTGTGGGCATCCTTCACCTCCATGCATTGCCCAGAGCTGCTCCTAACGTATGATGCGGCTACGGTGGCACCGCGCTGATGCCTCATGATGGACTGCTTGTCCATCTGCTTAGTTGTACCTTTCCAGGTCTGAGGGCATGGCTTGAGATGCAAGTCTGGATCCAAAGACCTGAGCCAGTCCCCACACCAACCCGCGCGACACACTGCTCAGGGCCTGTGGAACTGTGAGGGCCGTTGTTCGGGGAATGGACGAACTGCAGCTTGCGAAATGATTTGTCAGGGCTGCAGTAAGCGCGTGCTAGATCGTGCTAGTATCGCAGTTCCATGGGAGAGTGGAGCTGCATGTTGCGATACGATTTGTCAGGACAGCCTTAAGTCAAGGGCATTCGGAATGTCATAAGCATGTTGTGTCGTGACAAGCCAACTAACGGTCCGGTACAGAACAAATGGCTCACCACATGGCCACATGAGGCATGACAAATCGCAACAACATGCAACATCACAAAACCCTTCAAAATCACATCGCCACATGACGTCACTTCACATCGGATCAAAGTGCACACCAAGCCAAAACATTCCAATAGATCAATGTTGGACACCTCCACCCCAGGCTCTGCCGAAAGTAACACGCTGCACCCGTCGAATACAACAAACATACAAAACAATCAAACACACATGCAACGCTCGCCGTTAGCCGAATCTGCGATGAGATCTTGACAAGGCCCACGCCACTGCAGCTTCAGGTCTGAATCCTGAATGAACGCAAGTCTCGAGAGGTCTGCACCACTAGGCCTGGCCTGCTTCTATATTTTGGGCTTTTGGGTTGCTTGTTTGTTTCTTGGATCACTTGTAGGTTTCTTGGTCTACTTAGTCTACTTTTTGCTGCGTGGGTTCCAGCAATGTTTGTATTTGTGTGACTTCTTGTAAGGAGCAAAGGCAACTACACACAGTAACATAAAAAATCTAAATCTAAATATATATATACATTACATGTGTACATCTCTACTATTCAGAGTGCCCCCCAGACTGCGCTCTGTGCACTCTATCCTTTTCACTGGCACTCTCTGCAGTTATGGTCTCTGCACGTCGCCCTGACGTTGTTGCGTTGGAAACTCACAGTATGTGAGCAGT